GGCTATCCCCTGATACTTGACACCATTGCTGAAGAAAAGCGATTTAATGTAATTTCACAAAAGGACCTTCATGAAGTCTTGCGTCTCTTAAAACAAATGTTCAACATACATGAATGTACAGGGATTAAATCTTTCTGTAATAATATGCACTTCTGTAGTGCTTTCCACACAAGCATCTCTAGGTGCTTCACAAACATAAATAGAGATGGAACAAATAAATCACAAAACTTACGTGACCAAGTTTGCTCTTTTCCTGTTCATCAATTGTCCATAAACAAGAAAATTCTCAAATTTTTATTAACTGAAGTTAATTGCAACATAAAAGGGCCATGAATAAGGTTGAATCAAAATTTACTTTCATATTTGAATGACAGTTCCGTTTTTTCAGTAGCTCTCATCATTAATGAATTTAGCTTCACAACACTCTTTTAAAGTGTTACAAAGGGAATTGAGACAAGAGGATCAAATTCTTATAGCCATTGGAGGTTACTGTATATTAAACTAGTGAAAATGAGATTAGAATTTAGTCAAGAGAAGTGTGGGGCTCAATTCAAAACTTGTTTAATCAATGGAAGACTTCTTGACTTCAGTGGGCCTAGTGGATTATATTCTACTTTTTTGAATGCTACACAGGAAGTCTGTGGCAGAGCTGAAAAAATCAAAGTGATCAGAAACTATATTTTCAGTCACTTGAAAAAAAGTCACTACAATTCTGTATTTTCCCAGTAACAATGCATTTTTAGAAGCATTCTCATTTTGTTCTAGTAAAATGATCCTGATTTATATGTTGCTTACAGTATAGTAGTAGGATTCAAACACACTCTTGCTGAAGTGAATGGCAAAACTCTTAGGGAGAGCAAGATTAGGCCCTTCATATTTAAAGTTTTCAGGCTTGATTTAAGCTGAGAACCAACCTGGAAGTTTTAGCACTTCATTAGTGGTCCTTGGAGGAAAGACACTGTGCGCTTGTGCAAAGTATTTGTTGGCTTGATAAAGGATTGCTATTAGAGAGACAAGGTGAGTGAGGTAACATCTTTTATTGGACCAACTTATGTTGGTGAGCAAGGCAAGGTTTCAAGCCACACAGAAGAAGAGCTCTGTGTCTTCTCTCTCGCCTCGTCTCTCTACTATCCTGAGATGGACACAGTTACAACTACACTGCATAGAAAAGACTGCTATGTCAGGCTTCATTGTTATCAGAAAGTAAAATATGAAGATTTGAGAAATACCTTTTTGTTATAAATGAAAACATTTGGACCCAACAGGCTATAATCTAAGCATTGCTGGTGACTGAATGTTGGTTTTACACTCTCTAGTTCATGGCATATTAGGGAAATGGCAGCAGCACCCTTCCCCAGGATTCTGAAGCATCTTTTGGAGACTTTGCCATATTAATTTTCTTTTGAAATGAGGTGGCTTTTATTTCAGCTAGCAGTTGTGTGTCTGATAGGAAGCAGCTATCTTCAGCAGTGGGTTTGGGTCCCATGGTTCTGGGATGTTTATAATGTGGTAGAAAGTTTCACCACTGAACTGAAGAATATCCAGTGAAAAGACATGATAAAGAGATGCCAGTAATCAATTGTACAATACCCATTGTCCAAATGGCCCTCCTGCATTCCAATAAAGCTCAAAAAAAAGTTCACTAACAATGCCAGAAACATGATGGCAACCAGACCATATTGTATTTATTAAGTTTAACATATGAAGAGAAAAATATGACTCATATACTGCTTCTCATGTTAAAAGCATTGGAGAGATATTAACTAGTTAATTACTCTCCTACCTCACAGGGGTGCTGTAAGGATTAAGTGTTTTCCTTACAATATAGATGAGAAGATAGCCAGAAAGGTGAAGTGACTTGCCCAAGGCCATACTGCAAGTCAGTGGCAGACTCAAATTAGAACTCAGCTCTGCCAGAGTCCCAGTTCTTGTGTGCATTTCTCCAGGCTATGCTGCCTGCGAGCCTTGGGGTCAGTAGGTGTGATAGACACACTAGAGAACATACGTTACTGAGAGAACTCAGAATATAGATACACTTGGGTTGCATTCCACTTCTGATGTCGGTATGGTGGGGGAGTTTGACAGGAAGATAAAGATGTCATAAAAGAAAAGAATGAGCTCAGTGGTTCGCAGTCACAAGTTACTAATTTGGGTTTTATTTACTTTGCTGTAATACCTTCAAATTGCTACTAGCAAATATTTTAGCACCTAGAACATCAAAACTGTATTTTTCCGATTGGGGGAAACAGGAGAAAGGACAGTTTATTTGAGAATACCAAGAATAGAGATAAAAAAAAGTATGTAGTGTTTTTATGGGCAGCATATTTCTTTTTATGCCTGTAATAAAGAAACAGTAATATTAGGAAAAATGCTGACTGTAGCTCAGACTATCAGTTTATGAAAGAGTTCACTGAATCAAATGAGATTTAGTATACATATGTTATCTACTTTAAAAAAAAATCATGTAGGATGATTATATAAGTCCTCAGTCTGATTCTTCAGGAAGTATCTGTTCCTTTGTTCATGAACCTAGCGCTGTAAATGCAATGATAGTTACACTGAAAGTTGGGTTGGAAACTGAGCAAGGAAATTACTGCAGACATAAATGCAGTGGAAGTGAACACCGTAATTTGAAGTGTCACCTGAAACAGATTAATGTGAATTTTAGAAGCAACAAATTTATCCAGGAACATATGGGGGGACCCTTTAGATCCAGTATTGCTGTGAGTCTGAATTTAGCTGTCACTATTAATAAATCACAGCTAAGAGTGTGACAGTTTTAAACTGGTATGATTTGTTGTTCAGATGTTTTGGTCTTGTCTGTTTCACTCTAGATTTATGGACAGAGGTCATGTTGGAAGCCTGCTGTACAGTTTTTCTTTTCTTTTTCTGCTATCAAGTTGCCTCAGCAGAAGTTCACAGAGAAGGACATTATGTTGCTGCTGTGTACGAACATCGACCCATACTGAGTCCTAACCCAGCAACCCTGACTGATCGACGCTCTGCATTAGAGTTGATGAGCAGAAACCTATATATATATGAAGAGCAAGTAATAGCTGCAGCCAAACAGGTCAGAAAACATGTTCACAGCTTAGTGGCCATCTTAAGTTGTATATAACAAGTTCTAATTATTGAGAACAATCTTTTCAAACTCGGATGCCTAAAGTTAGACAACTAAACCTATATATTAAGTATATTTAGGCACCTAAACAAGTGGCCTGGTTTTTGGAGATCCTGAACAGCCAGCAACTCTTATTAACTTCAGCGGCTCTGAAAATGAGGACACTTACGAAGGTGCTTAACTTCAGGTACTCAAGTTTTGGGGGGGAAAAAAGACTATTATTATAGAAAAATGTCTCTTTTCCATTTTTATTTAAGAATCCAGCACCTACCTGATCCCTTAATCAAAGAATCCTCTTAATGGAGGAGTGTCATGACAACAACTCTTCTCTTTCCTAGATCTTCATTCAAAACACCCCGCAGAACATTACTCCTTTCCTTGACTTCTTTCTTCTCCGACACCTGTGTACGTGGGTGCACACACAGTTAGAGTAGAATCGACATGAGCAAGCACTTGAAAAAGAATGGACGTTCCCAACAGTTTGTTTTGTTAAATAGAAACAGAGGCCCAGGCTCTTGTACTAAAAGGGGTACGGTCTTAGAAAGATTGCATAAAGGTCCTCTCTGGCACACCCTGTGGAGCCATGACACAACCATCCTGAGTGTGAGCCAAGTTCAAGGAGCCAAGAGAACACACAATCACCTTTTTAATATGTGCACAATCTACTGTGAATGGTGCATTATTTTGGTAACTTATGGGTGGAGCTTACATTATGGGCAGAGTTTGAATGAGCACTGCCATTTTTCCCCACTTAATTTGACCTGTGTCCGCAATGTACGGTGCCTGCTGATGTATAGGTTAATGTGCATTTTAAAGTAAATAATTTAAAATGCTTTCTACAATGCTACCTAAAAAGGCAAGAAATGCTCGCTCTATATTATGGTCAACCCAACACACTCAAGCTACCCTTACTTTTGTTTGTATGGAACCTCATCACCAAAAGAGATCCCATTTTGCTTTCCTTGTTCGCATTGGATCATTTTTCCCACATGTAATTTTTGGCTACAAGATATGTGTTTGTTTTACTTACAGGGGGCACAGATCATTGTATTTCCTGAAGATGGAATCCATGGCTTCAACTTCACTAGAGAGTCCATTTACCCTTATTTGGAGTTTGTTCCATGTCCCCAGTCTGTGAAATGGAATCCATGCAGAGAGCCACATCTGTTCAGTGATACAGAGGTATAGGTTTTAAAATTGCCTACTGTGGAAGTGTAGCTAACAACAGAGGATTTATACTCCAGGTGGAGAACAAACAGCAGGAGCCAAGGAGCTCTTAAAAATGTAATTAGCCCTAGTTTAAAGAAGTAACCAAGAAAATATTTCATAAGGACTGGACTGTGTTCCCAGTCACTCCCCATTTACCCTGGAGTAGCTGTGTTACCTTAAAGAATTATTCTGAATTTATACCAGCGTAACTGAGATTAGTATCTGGCCTTAAGTAAGCAAAACTGATTCCACATAGACAGTTTGTGAAAAGTATTACTGTGGCCTCTGGCTTTCTAAAGCAGCAAACTGTGAAACTTTGGTATCTGTGTTTAATAGGACACATTGTTATTATTAATGGTTTGATTTTTATTCCGACTAAAACAATAGTCATATGTAAGAGATGCATCGAGAGTTTCCCTCTAGACATTCAATAAAATGATAAATAATGAGAAAGCAATTAACACACTAGATTAAACATTCCAATTCAGTGGTAGCATCAAGTGTTCCGTCACCACTGTTTTTTAAAACTAAAGAACATTATCAGAATCACCAGAAATAGCTCCAGAATACTCAGATTTGTGTACAACAGATGGTTTGATTAACATGACTGGTTGCATAACCAAATACAGAGTTGAAACCTGCTGATCATATTCACACAAGTAACCACAATGGGCCACAATCCTTGGTATAATGCCACTGAAATTAATGCTGTTAGACCAAAGATAAAGCTGACCAGTGACTTCAGTGGGACTACTCTGTTGGTAAAGAGAGCAGGATTTGGCCCACAGTTTACATCGGTAAGTGGATTTTCTGACTCACACAAGAATCTCAAATTGTTTTGAAACTGGTTCTATAATAAACAAAGATCAATTTAAAACTAATATAAAAATAGTATCTTCCCACTCAACTAGTCCACTTCTTGTACATATACAGAGTTGTATCTGCCAACTTGAGTAACACAAATATGTTTTAGCTGCTTTTGACTCCCGTTAGCCCTGAAGGAATCAACACAACAGAGAGAGAGCATGAGTTAGCGCACATGCGCTGTATTCTATTCTGGCATGTGCAACAGAATTACTAACTATGCTCCAATTGAACCACCACATTCTGCCTTCAGTTACGATTGTGCAACCACAAAGAATTAATAGAGTTGCACAGGTGTTAATGAGGCAGAATTTGAAGACATGGTGAATTACAGGTATAACCAAGGGCGTAATTTGCCCCACAAAATCTTTATTACTGGTGATACATGCAAGATGGAAAGAACCTAGCTTGACTTTCAGATCCCATGTTGAGTTTGCAGGGCTGGCAGCTAGAATTTTTTTTTTTTTTTTTTACTTACAGACTGGACAAACTTGAGATGAAGTCATTGAAATACACATATTGGAACAAAAGATGTTTATCTTTAAATATAAAATTATATATCTTTATATTTAAAGATAATGCCTAATAGGGCCTATTGTCTTCAAGGAGAGGAACAAAGCAAGCCAAAAACGTAGCTCATTCTATTCCAGCCATTATGTTACTCATGTCATCCAACACAACTTCAGTGCAATAGGTAAAACTTTTTACCGGTATTTTACTAAAGTTTAGTGTTCAGAAAAAAGATTAATATAAATAATCCAAATGTAACTAAGCTGTAAGGATACATCTATTTACCCCAAAACGTCCAATAAGAGACTTACAGCCTAGAAGGAAACCTTTTCCTACAAGCATCAATACCAAGTATTTCCTTGGAACAAACTAGATGAAATTAAGGGCATTTATTTAAAACTTTTCATGGCCGAAATAAAAATCTCAGTAATAGTTTTAGTCTTTATTGCTTTGTCATTTTTCCATAATTAAAAACTAAGAACTACCAGTTCATTCTACTGCTGCCCTAAGTTCAGATTTGTGTTCTTCAGTTGCTTACAGTATTCTGTTATTTTGGGCCTGATGAGCCACAACACAACCGCCAATTGCACCAGCAAGCAATTGGAGGTGCAGATCCTCATAATTATGCTTCTCATAGCTGAGTGCACCTGCAAATCAGTTACACTGTCAAGGAAATGCTTTCATCTGGCCCTCATTATTTGCAGACATAATTGCACCCACAAAACTGGAGGCCATTTCTGAAAAATCAGGCCCTTAAAGTGTAAGGGAATGTTTTTTCTTTTCAGTGACTAAATAGTGTGAATAAAGCCCCATTTAAGTGTTTCTAAATTGTTTTGGACATCATGAGACATTCAAGTCAGAAATAATGTACCTTTTCTGTAGAAAGGACCTGCCCCAATCAATCAACAATTTCACCAAACACTTGTATTTAATTTTTCCACAAACGCTGAAATCTTAATATTTTTGCAAATGCAGAGTGAATAATCTCAAGAGGTTTGAATACACCATGTTTGATAAAATAAGACATATCCATACACATTGTAAAATGCTTACGTATTCCTAAACTGTTTCTCCAGGTTCTTCAGCAACTGAGCTGCATGGCACTGAGGAGCAAAATGTTTCTAGTGGCAAACATAGGAGCTAAGCAGCCCTGCGAGTATAATGATCCCCTCTGCCCACCTGATGGGAGATACCAGTTTAATACTGATGTGGTATTCAACGCCAATGGTACTCTGGTAGCCAGATACCGCAAACAAAACCTGTATTTTGAATATGCTTTCAATACGCCTCCAGAGGTTGATTATGTGCTTTTTGATACACCTTTTGCTGGCAAGTTTGGCGTGTTCACTTGCTTTGATATACTCTTCTATGAGCCTGCGGTAAGCCTTGTCAAGGAATACAATGTGAAGCAGGTTGTGTATCCAACTGCATGGATGAACCAGCTCCCACTCCTGTCCGCTGTAGAATTTCAACAAGCTTTTGCAACTGCTTTTAATATCAATGTTTTGGCAGCTAATATCCACCACCCTGCACTGGGTATGACAGGTAGTGGCATATACACGCCATTAAAGTCTTTCATCTACCATGACATGGAAAGTCATGATGGCAAACTTATAGTAGCAGAGATCTCTGTGATGACACCAGAGCATGAACCCCAACTGGAGAGCAATGCAAGACCCAGAAAGAGCATTGAATACCCCCACAACAATTTTGCAAGCCTTCACATAGATGATCAGGTTTGCAATAAGAAGGAACAAAAGGCCCACTGCTGGGTAGCAGAAAAGGAAGACAAAGAAGCCCCTCTGATATTTTACAGGGAGATGATGTATGACAATTTCACTTTGGTTCCTGTAAGGGGAACTAAAGGGGAGCTCCAGGTTTGTGCCAACACCCTCTGTTGTTATTTAAGTTACCAGAGACCTACTATATCTGATGAATTGTATGCTTTGGGTGTCTTTGATGGGCTTCATACAGTCCATGGCACATACTATGTTCAGGTTTGTGCCTTAGTGAAGTGTGGTGGCCTCAGCTATAGCACCTGTGGGCAGGAGGTCACAGATGCCACTGCTTTGATAGATTTTGAGCTGGGGGGAAATTTTAGTACTTCCTATATCTTTCCTCTGCTGCTTATGTCTGGTATTAACCTAGACTTCACTGATCACTTGGGTTGGAAAAACAACTACTATTTCATGAGCAAAAGTGGACTATCCTCTGGTTTAGTGACAGCTGCTTTGTATGGACGATGGTATGAGAGGGACTAGTGCAGATTTGACCCGAAATCAAGTGCCAAAATTTTCAAGCTAGGCTCCTAAAATAAATGGCCTTCTTTTCAGAGGTGCTGAACACCTGCAACTTTTAGGACTTCAATTATGTATGCTTAGAACATGACTATTATTAGACTTCCAAGTTTGAAAATATTGACCAAAGTGCTTTATCCAATGAATAGGCCATAATCTGTGATCTGTACCTTGCTACTATTTCAACTACCAACAGCAATAAGCCCTCAGGAAGAAAGGGTTATCAGTGTAAAATGTGACAAAATGTTTTATATTATGACAATATAGTACTCAGTTGGATTCACCATGCTCTGTTTTTATCTTAAAAGTGATAAAAAGGCAACTAAGTAATTCTTTGGGTCCCCTTTTTGTGTATTTTAAAATTTGAATATTCAGTTATAAAATAGCTTCCCACTTAGACTTTTGTTTTTGTCATTAATATTGATCATTCTACCTCTGGATTAAAAAAAACCCACCGTTATTTCTATTTTAATTTCTGCACAGATTATTGATGAGATCAATCTAGATGAAGACGACTAAAAAATGCCCACAGCATGATGCATAAAAAGTAAACCCTGTTATAAAAAGCAACTGTTTTAGATGTCTTAATGTTTGCTGATGGCTACTGCAGCATTTAAAATTATGTTTTCTATAAAATATAAAAAGTAATGGCTGTCACTCATATTCAAGTACGACTGACTAAATCAGTTTCCACATGTAGGGTTCAGGAAACACGCCAGGTTACTTGGTGTCTACGTTCCCTCCTACTGTCGGCCGAGTTGGCACAACGATATTCTGTTGCACGCCCTGTTTCCTTGGTAGCAGAGTGCCAAGCTCACCTGTCATGGGTCGTATCCTCTCAGGTCATTAAGTCCAGTCCGGCAGACTATGTGCTGCTTGATGCAGTCCTTGTAGTGGAGTGACCAAACTTCATACTGCCTATTTTAAATTCACTATACAGAACTCTCTTAGGCAGTCAATTGTTATCCATACATATGACTTGGTCAACCCAGGTCATTTGCTTCCATGCTAGCATGGCTTCCAAGCTTAGCATGGCTGCCATCCATAGTACTTCATTGTTGGTGATTTTGTCAGACCATTTGATTCTCGTTATACTGCCCGTTATGCTGCATAGGTGTCATCTGTGATCACAAAAACCCCCTTGGGGCTGCCAACTGATGTGCCAAGACTACTACTGCCCCTGCTTTCCCTGCCAGCTTGGTACTCCAGCACCCTGTCTTGTTGAGCCAGACATACCAGTCTGCTCCAACACTGATCCAGGGTCTGAACCATGTGCCCCAAAGCTGCAGACTTAACTGAAAGCAACTTAAGAAGTGTTCCTATCTTTAACACTCAGATGCCCAACTCCAAATGGGGTCCAAACCCCAAATAAATCGTTTTACCCTGTATAAAGCTTATACAGGGTAAACTCATAAATTGGTCGCCCGCTGTAACACTGATAGATATGCACAGCTGTTTGCCCGCCCGACCCCCCCCCCCCAGGAATTAATACATACTCTGGGTTAATAAGGAAAAACTGATTTTATTAAATACAGAAAGTAGCATTTAAGTGGTTCCAAGTAGTAACAGACAGAACAAAGTGAATTACCAAGCAAAATAAAATAGAACACGCAAGTCTATGTCTAATACAATAAGAAAACTGAATACAGATAAAATCTCACCCTCAGAGATGTTTCAATAAGTTTTTTTCAGAGACTGGACGCCTTCCTAGTCTGGGCACAATCCTTTTCCCTGGTACAGCCCTTGTTCCAGCTCAGGTGGTAGCTAGGGGATTTCTCATGATGGCTGCCCCCTTTGTTCTGTTCCACCCACTTATATATCTTTTGCATAAGGCGGGAATCCTTTGTCCCTCTCTGGGTTCCCACCCCTCCTTCTAAATGGAAAAGCACCAGGTTAAAGATGGATTCCAGTTCAGGTGACATGATCACATGTCACTGTAAGACTTCATTACCCACTTGCCAGCACACAGGTATACAGGAAGACTTACAAGTAAAACAGAGCCATCTACAGTCAATTGTCCTGGTTAATGGGAGTCATCAAGATTCCAAACCACCATTAATGGCCCACACTTTGCATAATTACAATAGGGCCTCAGAGTTTTATTCCATATTTCTAGTTTCAGGTACAAGAATTATTCATTCATACAAATAGGATGAACACATTCAGTAGCTTATCAGCTTTGTAATGATACCTTACAAGAGACCTTTTGCATGAAGCATATTCCAATTACATTATATTCACACTCATTAGCATAATTTTCTAAAATCATATAGTGTGCAACATCACGTCGTCATTGGAGGCAGTTTTTGGATATGGTGACGAGTCTCTAACGAGTATAGAAGACAAGGGAGCACAACAACATTTTAAACTTGGCACTTTGTGGACACTTTGACCCCTCCCCCCGTCTTGTCCAAAGTCTTTTTTGTAGATGACTGAAAGCTGAGGCAGTAGATTCTAAGCATGCTGAACGTTCTTTATCAATGCTGGTGTCGTCGGTAACTCTGCTACCTAGGTAGCAGAAGGACTTGACATTCTTTAATTGGCAGCCGTTCAATTTTATGTCTGTTGGTGATGGAAGTAATGGGTTTCTGCAAGGAAATGGTTGATACAGGATTTCTGTTTTCTTTACATTAATACAAAAGCCATAAAGGGATAAAGCATGGGCAAAGGAATTCAGCCAATGTTGTAGGTCATTTTCAGAAAGGGCAACAAATGCTGAGTCATCTGCATACAGATCCTTTATTTCACTTTGCTGGGATTTGCTTTTAGCCTTGATTCGGTGGAGGTTTAGAAGTCTGCCCATGAATCATGTTGTTAAAGTGACACCTGTAGTGGTAAGTATGTGCAGCAACTTCTAGTACTCCAGCCAAGAACAAAGTAAATAATGTAGGGGAAAGCTCACAGCCCTCTTTAATCCCATGGACTACAGAAAGGGATCAGATGAGTCAGCACCCACTGATACATGGGCCTGCATATTGTCATGGAAGCAGCGTATAAGGTTGATTAGTTTGTCTGGGCAGCCAAACTTTGCAAGAAGGCACCAGACAGCAGAGCGTTTGATTCTTACTAAGGTCGACAAAGACAACGTACAGGGACATTTGTTGTTTAGCAGCTTTCTCCTGTAAATATCACATTGGCAGTGCTGCGTCATGAACGAAAATCACACTGGGAATCAGCGAGTACATCATGTGCAATAACCTGAAGCCTTTTCAGCAACAACTTACCAAGGATCTTACCAGCGATGGAGAGGAGTGAAATGCCACAATAATTGCCGCAATGTCTGTTTGGCCCCTTTACGCTTGTAGATTGTAACTATTTTGGCATCTTTGAAATCCGGGTTAAAACCTCTTTTTCCCAGCAGAAAGAAAATAAGTCTAGTAAAGCTTTTTAGAGTGTAGGACCACCTTGTTTCAGCACGCCAGCTGGGATTTCATCAGCTCCAGCTGCCTTTGCTATTTCCATAAGTGCATTCTTAGTCTCCTTCAAAGTTGGTGGATCTTCGAATTCAAATCAAACTGGTCTTTGCTTGATTGAGCATAGTATTTGATCATTTGCGCTCTACTCACAATTGAGGAGAGTTACATCTTTTTAGTATCATACTGTGCTCAGTCAAGAGGGTACATTTTAAAAGCAAAAGCTGTTAACTACAGCGTCCAGCACACACCACTATGTCCTATTTTGGTTCAGAGACTCCAGGAGTAGAGAGGAAGGAAAAAGGCAAAGCAGCTTGAGGGGGAAAGATGTTACAGAAGAGAGAAACAGAGAAAAGGAATTGAACAGAGGAAAAATAGGAAAGCTACAGGTCTGTCTCATCTTACGCTGGGGTTACGTTCCGCGGTCAGCGCGTCAAGCGAAAACCGCATATAGTCAAAATTACATTGAGTGTAATGGCGAGCGGAATCGCCAGCACTACAGGAACAGTATTTAAATTATTTTTCTCTTTTTGTTTTTGTTTTTGCCGACCGCGTAAAGCTGAATTCGCTCATGTTAAATGCGCGTAAGATGCGACGGACCTGAGTATGAAGCAGTAAAACTGTACATATGAGCCTGTAACTTTCATCAAGTGTCTGGTGACATTAGTTAAACTCTAGTTTCATATCAACAAGAACTCCCTTATTGGAATTCTACCCTTATTTTGTAGCAAGTTGGCTTTACATAATTCCTAGTGGAATCACTGCTGAATTCACACCTCATTTTCCCAGGTGTACTAAAAGATCAGATTAATTCTTTGAGTTTGACTATGAGAAAACAACCTTTATCAACAGACTGCATATTATTTCATGAGTTTATTGGTTTTTATGACTTCATTTCTGTTATCGTTGAATGGTTGACCTGCAGATTTGGTCTGATGGATGCTGGTGCAGTAGCATGACAGTTGCTCACTTTACCTTTATTAGATGAGTGGCTAAGGAGATGGATGGAGCACACAAGTCTAACAAGAGACTAGTGATTCCCAGACTTGATTTGGTCATATCAAGGAAGTACTGAGATGTGTGTGCTCACACAAGGAGAGTTGAATACCTTGTGCCACTTGATTCTCATCTTATTAGTGAGCATAAGACAAGCCATCTGGATTTTGGCTAGATATATGATAGCACTAGCCTGGCAATTAAAGCGTGTACATGTATTGGAGGAATTAGAGAGGATAAATGAGGATCCTACGCTTTGAAAGACTCCATATCAGGGTTTCAAAAAGGGTGATGGTCTCAAGAAAAATGTGAGTTTGCATCTCAGGCTTTGCACATCTCTGTGGTAATTATGTGGAATCCCTTACTCCCCAATCTCTTGGAGTCTCCTTCAGGCTGTACACACAGAGATCCAGTACAGTACAGATGACAGCTACACAACAGAATTGTTTTTCCTGTAACATCTATTTGCCATGGAAGTGTCTACCTCATTAGACATAACGTGGGTTACTTAAAAAAGCTCTTACACCAAGGATTTGTTTCACATGCTCAGAAATGAGAAATAAGGTAAAAGCCACATCTTTTTGTGCTTCCTAAACCATACCCACATGCTGAGTATGCACAGCTGTTTGTGTAGAACACAGGAACAATTCATTTTTATGCTGTAAGGATGAAATCTAAAAAAAAGAATGAATGTGGGGAGAATCCCAGCCTTAAGGGCTAAAAAACCAGTAACTTTGAATCAAGTCTTCTTTTCGGCCTGAGATAAAATGTGTTTCCTCAAATAATCACACATTTCATATCTAGTTTCACCGGATGCAGTAAAGTATCAGCAAAAACATACTACAATTTTAGCTCAGTTAATAGTGTTGCACACTTGTGTCTTTCTATCCAATAATTTCAGAACACTTTACAAACACTGAA